CAATCCCTACACTTCCCTACACCAAAATAAAAAGAAGCCAAAACAAAAGACAAGTCACTTACCTAACTATCTAACGAAAAACAGGAGAAAACTTGTTCAATAAAAGAAAACGGCTTCTCACGCCTACTAGGCTGCGACAGTGAAAGTTATACAAGAAAAGAACAAAAAGTGACCGCCACTTGTTAACTTATTTACAATTATTTACATGGCAAGGCTAGAGGTACACGTGAATACTCCAGCCTGCACTATAATGACACCACACACACAACTCCGTGACCGAGTCAACGGGGTTCCAAAAAGCCCTGCCAGGTGACTGTCATCCGGACGTTAAGTACTGGAGGTGGTCCATCAATTATCCAGTCCGAAGGTAGGTAGAGACTCCACCCAGATACCTAGCAGCCACGCCCAGGTGTCCACCTCCTAGGAGAGAAAAAAGGGAAAATACCACCAGCCATCCTCCGGTGGGAGGCACAATACCAACAAACACATCACTGGGTCATAACAGTTTCCCCCACCCAAAAAAAATCAAACATCCAACCCCACACAAAGATGTTTGATTTAAGACCCAGAGAGGGCATCAGCCATAACATCCTCCTGGTAAAGAAACAGACTGGGTGGTCAATGCCATTTTCATCCTCCTGCACGAGCACTGCACCCGCCCCCAAAACACTGGCGTCCACCTCTGAAACCTTGGCCCCTCAGGAACCGCCCAGGGACACCAAAAGTCTCCAGATTGCGCTTTCGCTCCTCTGCCCACGTCTCCTTAATGAATTGCGCGTTTGAGGAATCAAAATCAAAGTCTGTGTCAAATTTGAGGGTGGGAGATGGAGCATTAGCCACCATCAGCTGGCCTCTTCTGCGGTTCCTGCGCCGTCGAGGTCCTTGTCTTTTTCTAGCAGGTGGCCTGGATTCAGCATGTTGCTGCTGAGATCCACTTACACCTCCCCTCTGCCTAAACGTCTTTACACTGACGGTTTGAACAGCCTTTGATGTAGCACGATCGAAACCACTATTATCTGTAAGTGGTATATCAATTACTTCCGGCGACGGAAAAACTGTGCAGCCAGCTAGATCGTTTCCCAAGATGATGTCAATACCTGCAACCGGTAACTGGGGTCGCACCCCAAGCTTAACCTTGCCAGACAAAAACTGAGACGAAAGCTGCACCAAGTGTAAAGGAATCCTATCTCCCCAGGCTAACACATCAGCCCCACAACAGGATTGAGCGGAAAACGGTAAGACCCCCGCACGAATGAGCGACTGTTTCGCACCAGTGCCTCGCAAAATACTAACAGGAACCCGCCGATCTTCTCTTATCAAGGAAACAAAACCGTTTGACACAAATGGCTTAAACTCCTTATCTACTTTATCATTTTCGGGTGCCATCACTTCCCCTAAAGTAGGAGGGTTTGTCTGTAGAAGGTTTATTGGGGCAGGTGATGCACCCTTCCTGGTCATTTCTTTTCTTTTCAGAGCAGGGCAAACCGCAATAAGGTGTCCCTGCTCATGGCAAAAAAACCACGCGCGGTTCTCAATGGATGAGGGGATGGCACGGCGGGTGCCCCTGGGAGACCATCTAGGCGGGCTACCGGAAGACGGAATATTGTGGGCAGGAGCCGAAAACACCACTTTGTGTGTCAATACAAACTCATCAGCCCGTATAGCAGCAGCGGCGAGAGTCGTAACCTTCTGCTCGTTTAAGTAGGTTACCACAGTGTCTGGTAGTTGATTTTTAAACTTTTCTAACGTCACCAACTCACGCAGGTCATTCAGGGTTTTTACTTCTGTAGCATGACACCACTTATCAAACAGAGTTTTCTTTTCTCTGGCAAACTCCACATACGTCTGGTTGGTGGATTTTTTTCCATTCCTAAATCTCTGCCTGTAAGCCTCTGGCACAAGCTCGTAAGCACGCAGGACAGCAGTCTTCACCACTTCATAGTCAAAACTGTCCTCCAGAGAAAGAGCGGTGCACACCTCTTGAGCTTTCCCCACCAGTCTACATTGGAGTAAAAGAGACCACACATCTTTTGGCCAGTGCAGCGCACCTGCGATACGCTCAAACACTGTGAAATACGAATCCACCTCAGTTTCCCGAAACGCCGGCACCATTTTGATGTGTTTACTCACATCAAAGCCACCACCTGGCATCGGGGCCGGTGGCTGCGGAGATGGCGACTGCGGGGATGATGACTCCGGAGAGGGTACCTGCGGGGATGGTGACTGCGGGGCTGACCGAGGTACAGGAGGACTGGCAGACACAGAGGCTCCCCTCTCTACCTCCAGAGCCCTGATCCTCAAGTGCATAGCGTCCACCTCCAACTGCTGTTTCTTTAGCTCCACCTCCTTAATGCGCAGCGTTACCCGCAGCTCCTCCGCAGAAGGGCTAGGTGGAGAAGGGAGATTTTTCAGTGGGGCAGAAACACCAGCAACAGCCCCCAGCTCAACCCCCCTTGCAGGACCCGGCTCACCAAACAACCCCCTGTCCGTCAACTGGACACACAGGAGCTCCCTAAGCTCTTTCTTCTTCGCAGTCAACGGCACAGTCACATCAAAGAATTCAGCAACAAGCAAGAGGTCAGCCTTTTTACACCTGTCCAACTTCTCCGCAGACGGGCTCAGAGTGAAGTCCTCCAACTCAAACTCCATCCTAACACACACCCCCCCCACACACACAAGAAAAAACCGCCAACCAAGACAACAAGCCACAAAAAGAACCACCAAAGGGACGAGCCCCCAAGAATGTATTTAAAAGTTGTTAATTAAATTGCTAAGCAGATAAGCTACTCAGAAACACCACTGTGTTTGAGCAGGAACAGGAAGTGATATTCTACCACAAGCGAACATCAAGTCACACATTCTACTGTAAACCCATCACAGTGCAGCAAACTCACCTGTTCATCCTGCAGAGGATTCTCATGCAGCCTTTAAATAACACAGTCTGCCCCAGTTTGATTAGCAGCAGGTTTATGAACAAACACAATATGAGACACAATATCTCCTCGCCTTTGAATCTAACCTTCCTGTTTGTCTTATCTCGGCCACATCTCTGTTGAAAATGACATGTTAACGTGACAAAAGTTTGTACTTCAATAAATAAAGAGTAAGTAGTGCCTATAAGTAAGCAAAACAAACAAGAGAACACAGTATTTAGTCAGATACCAGAGTACAGCTGCACTGCAGACCCAAGACCCATTCCAGAAGTCCCTCATGTCTCCTATTCCTGACGCTCTTCCTTGACCTTGATGAAAACGTCACTGAGGTCAAAGCTGAGAAGGAGAACTGCTGAGGACTCAGGAAAAGGGAAGAGGCGTGCACTTAGAACTGGAACAACCTTACACTGGTGTCTCTTTAACAGGAAGTCTGGCGTGTTGAAACTACAATGTGCAGAAGACAAACTACAAAAGGCTGGTCTAGCTTCACCACAGGGTGTGTTCTTGTTTTATGGAGGTCATAGAAACGATAACAGTCTGTAAAGCATATCTTTTTGGTGTTTTAAAGGAGGAGGAACATTTACTGCAATCCTACTAAAATGATGATATTACTAAAACTTTGGCTGTGTCCTAAAACTCTTCATCAGTGTCACGCTGAGCGTTCAGAGGCGAGCCCACTTATTGGTCCTCAGTAACTGTTTCCATGAAACAGCAGAAATGAAGTGAACTCAGCTTCTGTTTCTCAGCAGTGCGCACACGGCGAGCGACGTCTCTCTGCTCAGTCTGGAGCTAATAAAACGCTCAGTGTGTCCGATTAATGCCTGAATGAAACTAAGAAGCCACCGGGCATTTACTGGCGTGCCACAGTAACCATGGTAACTGGGACGGTGATCTGAAGGTAAATAATGTTTGTGTTGTTCTGCACGTGGTACAGTTTGTAATGCCGCAGCTCCACCTGAGTCCTAATCCTCAGACCTTTGCTCGGTGGTTTCCAGAGGTGGGCAGTAATGAGGTACAAATATTTTGTTATTGTACTTAGTATTGTACTTAAGTAGACTTTTCAGGTATCTGTACTTTACTTCTGACTACTTTTTACTTTTACACTTTCAAAAGAGGCAGGAAAGCAACAGCCTGACCTTGAGTCCGAGCTGTGTTTTCTCCAGTGTATCCTAGGCTAGCAGAAGCATTGAGCCTCGTTTCCTTAATGTTTAGACCAGCTGGAAGATCAGTTTTAAGTAAGTCACTCAGCAGCTTCGTCCAATCAAACCACAAGTTTATTTTTATTAAATTGAGTCATGTACGGCGATGAAACGGCGTCTTCTCCCTGTGACCGTGGCGGTCTGAGTGTGGTTGTCAGAGATACCGTAGCATCCTGTAGCTCCACCCAGCCCCACCCCCGTTACAGCCTCCATCAGACAAATCTGTGTGACTTCTTGATGACTTTACTTTTCTTGAAAAACACTTTCATCATCATCATCAAGGTTGTGTATTGGGCCCTTATTGTTTCTATTCCAACTGCTCCCACTTCAGTACATTGTGAGCACCTTTAAGGGCGTGTGCTATCACCACTGTGCAGATGGTCTGCCCTTCTATATCTCTTTTAGGCTAAGACTAGTATTTTTTTAAGTCTTTTAAAAGCTGCAGATGCTGAAACAGCTTCTTAGACTCCATTAAACCTTGGATGACCTTCTCCAGCCTAATGCAGATAAAGCACAGGTCCTTGTCTGTGCCCAGCGTAGTGAAAGCCCATTACTCACTTACTTGGGTAACTCGTGACTCCCACTGTGGATGTTAGATCTGTGGTCACTCTTGTTTTATCATTTAAGGCAGATTGTACCATTGTGTTGTGCTGTGAACTGGAAATCGTTGTTTGTGCATTTATTTCATCACGTTTGGATTATTGGTAGTCAGTGTTCACTGGTGCAAGCAGAAACTCGCCGGAGCATCTGCAGGTTGTTCACGACGCTGCTGTGAGAACAGATCTTACTCTCACGGACGGCGTCGCTGATGCGGCTGGTTCTGACTGTTAGAGCTCTGTATCGACAAACAGCAGCTTACATCACTGACCTTTTGCAGCCATACGTCCCCAGCAGGTCCCCGAGGTCCTGCTGACCGTATACGAGGCTGAACGGGCTTTCACCTCAATGACTCTGGAGCTCCGAGTGGACTCGTCAGTCTCTTTAAGAAACGACTGAAAACTCATCTTTTACATTTATTGTTTTGCTGTGATGCACTTTGTGGTGTATAAATAAAAGTTGACTTTCTGACTTCATCATCTTCATCTTTATCAGGCCCACCTTCAGGATGTTTGCTATGAAAGTGAGACAGAAGCTTGGCTCCAGCCCACTCTGTGACATCACAGGGGTTGTGTCCATCTTTTATATACAGTCTAGAGCAGTGAGGCACCATCAGGCCGGACTCTGATTGGCGGCCCTGTCCTCAGGTCTCTGCAGATCAGGTCCTAGTGTTGCTTTTGTGTTCGTCAGACAGCAGAAATCAGTCAGAGAGTTTCAGGCTGTCGTGTGCAGGTGATCACACTGACCAATAGAAATGCTCCGTCACCTGCTTTGTGTGCTGGTTGGACAGAATCAGGTGGGAGTTACCTGTCTGTGTGATGTCATCAGAGACAGCGTCGGACAATCTGCAGCTGTGTGTGTGTGTGTGCAGACGGAGGCGGGACAAGCACTGAGTGACAGTACGGTTGCCATGGTGACCTTCAGCTGATCAGGTTTCTGTGGAGAGTTTGGAGCGCCTCATTTGCAGCGTGTCCGTCTCCTCTCTGCTCCCTCTCTCTGCCTCCTCTCCTCCTTTCAACCTTCTTTCTTCTCCCCCCCACCACCACCTCCCCACCCCTCCATACCCTCCCCCATTTGCCCCCCTCCCCCCCACCCATTCTCTTCCTGTTGGTTTCAGACTTTGCATTATAATTTCTCTCTTTCAGAGCTGCAAGGACGCTGGAGGTAGGCTCCAACTCTCTCCTGCTCACACACACACACACACACACACACACACACACACACACACACACACACACACACACACACACACACACACTCGGTGGCAGTGACACTGAGCCCAGATCAGTTTAAACCGTGCTTTTGCTCCTGCTCTGAGTTTGAGAAACTGCACCAAGACTTAAATCACAATTAATGATGTCATTATTCAAACCTGCTTTTATTCCTGCTTCTAAAATGAAAATTGAACTTTTAGCCGAGCTGACTGTGGGAAACAGCAGGTTCCTGTGTGAGCTGTGGCACGTTTCTCCTTCTTGCACAAAGATCCTGAAACGTTTTCGAGTTAATAAACCCGACTGTCTGTACCTGCAGCAGCACACCTGTCGGCCCTGCTGAAAATCACACAGAGGTGCAAAACTACAGTCAAATCTATTTTAAAAAGCTTCCTGTTCTCCTCACTGCACCAGTGTGCCTGTGAGCACGCTGGACAGATGCAGTACATTTATAATCACGTAAGACAAGAATCACTCTGCAGGTTAAAGATGTTTTTTCTTTGCAAATTTCTGATTAAAATTGTTCAAAAATGTCTGACAGTGAATTAAAGCATCATGACGATCTGAAGACTCTGTTTACCTGTTTCACTGAAGAGAGCTCACCTGAAGTTTTACAGGTGTTTGTGTAATTCTGCACTGTGCCACACGGCGGAGCAGTGAGTCAGTGTGAGGCTTATTTAACCATGAGGAAAGCTAAAGCCTCTGAGGGGGTGGAGCTAAAACAAGAGGTCACATACATGAGAACAGGCTGTCAAACAGTCTTTCATTCCAAAGGCTTTTAAAGCAGGAGGAACATCGACCATGGGTCAGGGCGAGGAACCAGCTGGAACGGACAGTCGTAGGACTTTTTCTGAAGCTCGCCTGCTCCCTCACTCTGACCCTCGCAGTCGCATCATTAAAGACCTCTGACCTTTTACATGTCGTGAGAGTTTTATTTTGAAAATCTGAACTGTCTGCTCACAGACAGAGGTCCAAGACGCGTTAATTACAAGAGTTTTATTAGTAGTCATGTGATTATATCAGGACTACTATGTATTTATAATTAATACACATAAATAATAGATTCTTGAATTATTTTAGTTATCTTCTGACCTGATTTTTTAAATGCAAACATATTTGATTTAAAGGAATCAAATATAAACATATTTGATTTAAAGGAATCAAATATTTTTTAAAAATTCATCTCCTAAGTTGTAAACCTAAGCTCAAACTCAGCTCTGGCCTGATGATCCATCTGGATGTTTCCCTGTGCTGGTTTGGAGAACTCAGCTGCAGAGATGTCTGCCGTCTCTTGAATAGAAACCTCAGCTCTCATGCGTCTGTGCAGAAACCACAATTTCACGATTTCGTGCAGGCCTGATGAGCCCCTACAGGAAGCTCTAAGCTCCGGCGTCCCTCCTAAAGCGAGCTGGGACATTAGCAAGCTGCCTGAACATGGACGTCATGGTTCCCCCATGAAGCTGCTCACATTAAGCTTCATGGTTTCTGCAGAGTCAGTCCTGAGTGTTAGTTTAAGTTTATGTTTGGTTCCACGAAATTAAAATTTGAATTTTAACCCTTTAAAATTGTGTAAGCTGACCAAAAACCAAGGCTGAAGTTTCACGGTGTGTTCGACGTACACTCTGTACATCAGAGCGTTTCAGCTCAGAGCGGCAGGATTAACGGGCCAAAACATTTCAGGTTTCAACACATTCTGAGATTCAGGATCAGCAGATTCGTAAACAGATTCAGTTCTTACATTTACTGAACAGCGTCAAATAACCTGACCTTTGACCTCCAGTGTACCTCCCTCCCCAGGTTCTGCTGCCCAACCTGCTTCTGAATATCCAGCTCTGTGACCTGCGACCCCTGTGGGAGCCATGAGCCATCATCAGAGCTCAGCGAGTCCTGGTGACACCCTGAGTCAGTCTGCAGTGAGTTTCCACAGAAACCGATGAGCGATCAATAATATCGATCTGATAATGATCACTTATGGGGGAGTTTGCTGTCTGGGCTTTTTGTTCAGTTGTGTCAGTCAGTGTGAGCTACCTCTGTTGTGATTGGCTGGAAACCTTCACCTTTACTTTTTATTTTGTGGTTGTTGTGTGTTTGCGTTAAAAACAAAGTTAAAGACAGGAAATGTTGCCTGTGCAGAGGAAGCACTGAGATCTGAAAACAGCTGGAAACAGCTATGTTCATGAAAGACTCACAACATTTAATTCACCAGTTAGTGTTTTCTATCTTCAGTCTCCTCCTCCTCCACACTGTCATGCTGATGAAGAAGAAGAGGAAGATCTAAACAAGGCCTTTGATGTTCAGGACTTTCAGCAGATCCTTTGTCCTGCAGCTCGCAGCCCGCCAGAGAAACACAGAGTCTATGATGAACAGGACATCGAAGGTAAGACATCCAGATGTCTCCGGGTTCAAAAGACCTCGGAAAGACCCGTTTGGATTTTCTCCATGCGCCTTTGAAAGGATTTAAAACCAGGATTTGGACCGCTCGTATAGGTTCTAAGAGGGTTTAATAAAGTTTGGTTAACCAAGAGTTTCTTAAAACTTTGAAGTATCAGTAAAGTTTCTTTGAGGTATCTTTTATGGGGTGTTGTAAAGGCCTGTTGTCTGTCAATAGGTTTGAGAATTGGGAGGTCCCAGGTGTTTCATGTTCCCTGTGTCTATAATATCAACTTCTTTAGTTTTCTTTACGTATAAAAACCAGCGTACCAGGGTGCTGGAGAGGTTGAACCTGTTAGTTTTCATCCTGGTTGTGGACCAGCGGTCTCAGGATCTCATGTCTGCTTTGGTTTCTTCAGCTCTGAGCAATGACCTCTAATTTGCACTGGGGAGTGTGAACAAGCTGGAATCAGAATCCGTCCTCCAACTTTGAGTCTGTAGTCGGAAAAGGGTCAAATACAGTGAGGAACAAGTTACTGCCCCAGGTCGAGGAGTTCTAGTTTTGGGATCTTGTTCATGAGTGAAGGGAGATTGAGAAACAGCGTGATGTAGCATCATCATCATCATCATCACTTATGTGATTGCTGTGCTGTTCTGTTACGGCGATGAGAGCCCTAAGAATGAAGCTGACAATTTACCAGCTGATCTCAGTGCCTCAACTATGGCTGCGAGCTGTGGGTAATGATGGAACGAATGAGGTCCCCGGTACAGGTGGTGGCAATGAGTTACTTTCTCAGGTAGCTGGGCTCTCCATTAGAGATAGGGTGAGGTGCATGGTCGTTTGGGGTGGTGGGTCGGGGTTAGGATACCGCTGCTACTCCTCTGCATCTAAAGGAACCATTTGATGTGGTTAGGGTATCTGACCAGGAACACCTCCTAGGTGGGGCTCCTAGGAGGCCCCAGCAGCAGACCCAGGTGAAAGGTTGAATCTCTTGGCAGGCCTGCAAACAACTCAGTGTCAACTAACTACAGTGTTAGACGCAGGTTTCAGGTTCACTGACCCCTTAAGGTCCAAGCCCCAAGCTATGATGACCTCTGACCCTGTGCTTTAACCTCCTAAGACCCGAACTCTTTCATGGCATGCATTTTTAAATTCTCTTTGCCATTTGGGCTGTTTGGGACCTGATTAATGTAAAAACAAAGAATTACCAGATTTTTTACCAGATTTTTGTTTCTGAGAGAAATGAGATCCACTTTTGAGGATATTATCTTTAAATTTCGATAGAACAGAGGCAGTATAATGTCCTCGTAAGTGGAAATCAGGCCCTTGTAGAGCAAAATTTTGTATTTTGGTCTAGACAACCCAAAATGTGATGTCCACATATGTGGACGCCAGGTCCTAGGAGGTTAAAGATTTCAGAGAACATCTTTCACAGTGCAACAATGACATACTTCCACTGTGTTACTTGGTATCATCGATGAGGATGTAGACCTCAGATGGTTAAAGAGCTCCATCTGTTCTCAGTTTAGAGCCACATACATCCAATGTGATCCAAACTGGACAGAACCAGAGCCAGGAACAGTTCAACTACACATTTAATCCCTGTAAGAGTTAAAAGCTTTGGATAGCTCATTGCCCAGACTGTGCATAATAATAATACAAAGGTTTCCGTGTTAAAAACAGACATCTCTGTAGTCAGTAGTGAAATCAGGTCAGTGTGACATCGCCAACAAAGAATCTCTTTAAGGGAATTCATTTGAAAGGAAAGCTCTTGTTGGAAAGCCCAAAGCTGGGCTTGTGCAGCATGACGTTAATGTTGGCTGACGTTAGGAGGCTAGGAGACCATCAGAGATGAAGCCAACTGATGTGACTAGGGATGGGTATTGATAAGATTTTCACGATTCCGATTCCATTTTCGATTCTGTTTAACCATTCGATTCTTTATCGTTCTCACATCGATTCTTTTTAAAAAAGGAGAACACTAAGGTCGATTAGCTTAGAACTTTGTTTTATATCTTCTCTTTGAACAAGATAGAAATTTAGGAGTAACATGGCCTTACAAACCCAACAGTGAGATCTTAAGAGATCCAGCCTGCGGCTCTTCAATGGGGTGTCACAGGGTCCCCAGGAAAAACATTGTAAATGTAAAATAATAAAATAAATATTCTTCTGTAGCAATAACAAAGTGTAACATAAATTATTCTGTAGCAATTACACAAGAATATCCAGTAATGTCCCTGCCTACAATTAAACACATTCACTTACTGAAAATCATCTGCTGAGCGGGTGCAAGCCTTTGACCACAAACTGAGTCACTGCTCGGTGACATTCGTCTATCCTGGCCTGAAAGGAGACGCTACCGGTAGACTGCAGCGAGAGCTGCCAGCATCTGAGCCAGACTCTGTCTCATCATGGTCACTAAATGCACAGTGATGGCAGGTTTGTAATAAGGCAGATCGCGCTAACATAATATGCACTGTTAGCTGATTATTTACCTGCCGCATTAACAGGAGAGGACGTGCAAACGTTACCGCTGCTGCTGGTTGAGATTCACGAGTCCGGAGTGAATTAAAAACACGACATTCATTTGAGGTCATCGCGTGTTTTGTGAGCATATTCGTAGTGTTTCCTCCCTTAAATGAAATCTCTACTTTGCAAGTATTGCAAGTTGCCCTGTTGTCATCCGTTCTCGTAAAGTGTAACCAAACTTTTGAGCGTTTGAGCCGCCGTGTTTCCTGCCGGGTAAATGACGCTCCGCAACGTGGTGACGTCATTCGGGGCGACTGGAATCGATAAGGGAATCGTTTGCAAAAATGGCAAACGATTCCAAGGAACTGAAACAGTGGGAACCGGTTCTCAACAAGAACCGGGTTTCGATACCCATCCCTAGATGTGACTGCTGATTTTCAGGTTCTTGAGCAGGTTCTCATGTTCTGATCTCCTCCTAAAAGTCCAAACTGTCTTCCTGTCGCAGAACACCGCCACTCTTCCCTCCATGTCCATCACCCTCTTTCCAAACCACCCACTGACAGCAGGAGGAAGAAAACTGCCGAGGGGAGGAAGGAGTGTAGGCGAGGCTCCGCCCCCAGCAATGCAAGTACCATAGATGAAGACCAACAGGACGAAGAGCATGGAAAGGAGGAGGAGGCCTACAGTCAAACTGATGGCGAGTGAGTGGCACACCTGTCAGGTAACGTGTTTTCCTGCACTTTATTAGTGTTAACCTGTGGCACCTCCCCCCTCACAGTGATCTGACCACCATCTCATCCAATCGCAACGGCACCGTGATGAGCGCTGCAGATGCCGACGAGTCTGAAACGTTGACGTCTGTGGACCTGGATGGCATCAAAAGTCAGTCAGAGCTCATTTTAAATGTGACTTGACTCTGAAGCAACAGAACGCTAATTTCTTTGTGTGTTACTTCTTCTTGTCGAGTTTCTCTCGGACACGTGGTTCACAGACCGTTTGTGGTCAGGTTTTCTTTTCCTCGGGGTCAATAAATGATTCTTATTCTGATGTGTGTGTTGAACATTCAGACTCATTACAATCCACGAGAGAGAGAGGATTTGTTCTTTTTCCTTTAATGCTTGTCTTTGATTAGAGGAATGTAAAAATAATTCAAACTGAAGTCCATCTAAAAGTGTTGTTTTTTCGAGCAGTGCACCCCCTGCAGGCGGTATGAAGAATTGCATGTAAAACGTGCAGTAGGATAAACTTTTCACACAGGTGACATAAAAATGTGACCTTTTATCAGTGGTCCATGAAGAAAACTGCAGAATAAAGCTTCTGCATGAGTTGGGGTGGGGGTGGTGTGGTGTGGGGGGATCACATGACCTGTGTGTGGGAGCACGAGTGGGTCAGGGTTAGCGGACCGCGCCGCTCTCCTTCGTAAACATGCTCGCTGTCAGCAGAACCCTGCCTCACTAACAGCTTCACTCACCAGGCAGGTAGAGGGGGCCAGCCAGCTGAGTTCATCGCTGGATTGTGATTGGCTGCTTTTGATGATTCTTTCCCAGAAAAAATAAATGGTGTGAAACTTTCACAGAAAATCTAATTTTTACTGAAACTTTAAACTCTACTCACCTGCTGAGTGGGCACACCTGTGTGTGTGTGTCAGGCGATCGAATGACAGTCAGACTCTCTTGTAAATGATTTCTCGCTGATGTTCAGCCGAGCCTGAAATCCTGTTAGACTGCGCAAAGTTCCCATGAGAGGGTGTGTGTGTGTGAGGGTGTTCTGGATTTGCATCATTGTGAGGACTCTGGGTCATACAGCCACAATGTGAGGACAGACAGTCCCCAACATGGCGGTCGTTGAAGTTTAGGGTGAGCTTCCTGTGGGTCAGGAAGTAGGTGGTAAGAAAGTAGGATGCCCGGCTCTGGGACACTGAGCATCAGTTAGTTGTTATGCTGCTCCATCCGCATAACAACTAACTGTTAGAAAACGTAATAATGTAGAAACAGAGCGTGCACGAATGTGTGAGCGGCTCAAAGAGGCTGATAGTGAAGTGCTTTACGTGCTCAGAGCAGAACTGTGATATAAGCCCAGTCAGAAGGATTTCGTATTTCTTCACTGATGTCAGAAGAAAGTAATAATCATTGTAACTGTAACTGTTGCCTCTTTTTCTCTTTATAGCTCTGACAGCTGCTGTGACCTCACCTCAGCTTCACTGTGACACTTTATTTAAAGTCCAGTTTTTGTTTGGTTCAGGGTGGCGCTTGGTGTGAGAGCTTTGTGACAGCCAGCATTAAATATGGGACACCTGTGTCCACCGCAGGTCACCGACTGGATGACGTTCCAGCCGTTCGACGGCACCTGGTGAGGCGGAGCTCCAGAGGACCGATCGTCCACGCCACCAAAGATCCGACGGTCAGCTGGTCAAACCAGCACCTGCGACCGGACCGTACACCTCATGAGGTCAGAGGGCGGGGCTAAGGAGCAGTCATTATTACAGGAAACATAAACACTTTGAGCCCAATCCTCATCACCACTCTGACCCTCCGAGGCCTGACCTTTGAACTGTGCTCTAACCACACATCCTGCTGCTTCAACTTAAACACCTGTCCCTCTGACCCTTTTCACTCACTTCCTCTGATTTGACTAATTTTGATGTTTCAAATGTAATCGTCTTCAGCTTCACTTAAACTGAGACTAAACTGCTGGCAGCTGATCCTGATGAGTTTGTTTTCGTGCTTTTCTTTTGATTTACTTCAGCTCGCACTTCCTTCACTGACTTCTTACTTTGGCTCCTCGCGGATTCGGTCACTGCTGCGTTTTTGTGGAAGTTCTGACTCGTGTTTATCCGACTCTGCTAGAACAATCCCGCACACACAGGTTGAAGCTGGCGACAGAGCGCAAGGTTTACAGGAATGTCATGTATTTGTGGGATTAAACCTGATTAAAGAAGGTTCAGGTGAGTTCATGCGAGCCAGTTCAGGTGGTCCACATGATGTGATTCTCACAACAAAACAACCAGAGTGAGGCTGACAGGAGGGACGAAAGATGAGCCGAGAGTCTGAGTGCGTTAATCCAGGTGCCATTGTGAACAGGTGACAAACTGGACTCTGTCTTAATGAGAACGAGTCAGACAGGCAGAGTCAGACAGGTAGAGCTAGGTAAACTCTGAGGCGAGCTTCTCTCTCCACTCAGTGTGCTCCAGTCTTCAGGATGGTGGGTTTGGACCTAAAGAGTCGACAAAATAAGGTAGAGTGATTTAACGTGCCAGCTTCAGTTTGGATTAACTTTATTTTGTCTCTTTCTTTAGTTTTATTCTGATTTCTCTTGTTTTATGTTTGATTTTCTACCAAACACACCAGCTGAACAACATTTGTGCCAAATTAAAAAAAGGTCATGTGAGCCATTTGGTCCTGTTTTCAGTTTTCTAGTCTGCTTTGGGCCTGTTTAATCACAGCATTAGGTTTAATATGTGAACATGAAGGTCGACAGATGTGACAGATGTGAGAGTAACTCTGGACTGGCTCTGGTTTTAACTGACTTAGCTTCTGTTGACCGTGTTCAGTGACTCAGTTTGTGCTCTGACTTGCTTTATTATAGTGATGTACTGATATATGTGCTGATGAAGATTACTGCAGCTGGAAGAAGAAGTAGCATCTGTAACTGTTGTGGAGCTTCATCAGTCCGGCTCTCTGTGAAAATGTTCAGGAGCTCAGTGCTGACATGTTTCATCGTTGGCTAGAGTCTCTGTGTGTGAGCGCACGCCATGGCGCCGTCCTCTTTAGACTCGCTGTCCTCTGTGATTCCAGGTGTTCGTGGAGCTGAACGAGCTGGTGATCGACAGGAACCAGGAGCTGCAGTGGAGGGAGACGGCTCGATGGATCAAGTTTGAGGAGGAGGTGGAGGAGGAGACAGAGCGCTGGGGGAGACCTCACATTGCTTCCCTGTCCTTCCGTTCTCTGCTGGAGCTTAGAAAAACAATGGCCCAAGGTGAGGAGGAGCCGGAGGCTTTCTGCTGCCCTCCGGTGGACAGCTTCCTATCTGTGAGTGTATATGGCCAAGTCAGGGCCGCCTCCTCCACTCTACCTTGATTGAAGCCCATTCAGGAGCTACACATGTACTCAAGTCCCACCATCTGCTAATCTGAAGCCTTAGATTAAATTCAGTTAGCTTTCATAATAACTTGAAGATGAAACATTCACATACAGAATCAAAGTAGTTATCAATAACAGCTTTCCCCATGTTGCAGTTATATTAAAGCTCAATCAGCTGATGGCTGCACAAGAAGGTTTATTGAAGGACTTTTTGTGATAGGTATGCATGGCAGCAGTGCTGGACTTCTTGATGAACAGGGAAAAAAACTTCACTTTCTGGGTCACCTTGGTGTAAATGCCAATGATATTGTTTGGCCGCTGCTGTCAAAACTATTTGGTTCCAGGACTATGCCACTGTGATATAGATATGTCAGGCCTCCATAAAAAGAATTTCACTGGTTACATATGATAACAATCTGTATCAGTGTTTGTAACTGTCAGCTCAGGGAGCAGGAGGGGGCTCCACTCTGTGGCCATATTCAACATCTACAAGTTACTGATTTACAGAGATGGAAGAAAAATAAAAGGGAATAAACACGAGACAAAGCAAACAGACGCTGCCCATCGCTGACTTCCCAACCCTCTCACATTTGTGTGGTTTCAGGGGCCATACTCCTGGATCTGAAGCAGAAGACTTTACCAGGGATTGCTCAGCAGGTGGTGGAGCAGATGGTGATCTCAGATCAGATTAAAGCTGAAGACCGAGCCAATGTTCTGGGAGCTCTGTTGCTCCGTCACAGGTGCATCCATGCAACCAAACATCCATCGATCCATCAGCCATCCATTCATCCAAACATCCATCCATCCATCAGCCATCCATCCATCCATCCATCCATCAGCCATCCATCCATTCATCCATCCATCCATCCATCCATCCATCCATCAGCCATCCATCCATTCATCCAAACATCCAAACATCCATCCATTCATCCATCCGTCCATCCATCCATCCAAACATCCATCCATCCATCCATTCATCCAAACATCCGTCCATCCATCCAAACATCCGTCCATCCATTCATCCATCCGTCCATCTACCCAAACATCCATCCATCCATCCAAACATCCATCCATCCATCCATTCATCCAAACATCCATCCATCCATCCATCCATCCAAACATCCGTCCATCCATCCAAACATCCGTCCATCCATTCATCCATCCATCCAAACATCCATCCATCCATCCATCCAAACATCCATCCATCCATTCATCCATCCGTCAATCCATCCATCATCCATCCATCCATCCATCCGTCCATCCATCCATCCATCCATCCATCCATCATCCATCCAAACCAACCAACCAACCATCCATCCATCCATCCATCCATTCATCCATCCAAACATCCATCCATCCATCCATTCATCCATTCGTCCATCCATCCATCATCCATCCATCCATCCAAAAATCCATCCATTCATCCATCCACCCTTCCATCCATTCATCCATCCGTCCATCCATCCATC